TTGTATTTTGGATATGTACACCTCTAAACTATGAGGTGAAATGGTATACAGTAAAATTTGTTATCTTTTACATCTGAATAATTAGCTGTACAAAAAAAAAGAAAATCACACAAATGCAAATTAATTTGAGTTTGTGAGTAAAATGTTCACTTTTGTAGTTGAAGTGTCTTGCCCAAGGACACAACAACAATAAAAGCCAGAGTCAGGATTTGGACCGACAACGTCACCTTTAAAAAAATTATAATTTTTGATTAAAACCTTTAAAAATATAATCATTTCAGCTGCTAAAGGAATAAAACAATTTTGTTTTCAGTATTTATAACTCTGTTATTTCTTTTTCATAGCTGTCAGCTGCAGTCATAAAGAATGTTTTCTCCTCTGTAATATCTCAATAATAAAGGTTTCATCTGTGTGTTTTCCACAATTTGTTTTTTTTAAATATTGTTTATTTGTTTAAAAATCCTATTGTTTAATTTCATGTATTGAAGAATATTATTCAACTGATAAATGTTAAGCCTAAAGGATAGTTTGTGAGGTTGAGAATACCGGTTGGCCGCTCTGTCTTGACTAAAGATTTATGTATGTTTTCTAAGGTTAATATTTTAGAAATATTCTTGTATTTAAAATGATCACCTAATTGACTTATGATATTATTGGTTGCTGCACTGTGGCTTCATTTCAACAGCATCCCTCATTTTCTGCTTAATGCCATTGAACTGCATCCAACACCTTCCATCCAGGTGCGGTGCTGGATAGATAAACATAAAGACGTTCATCAGGAGCACAGAAAACCGCTTATTTTATACACAGAATACCTACATGTTCACAGATCACAGTGGTGAATGATTGATCTTAGTGGCCATCTTAACAATGCATTTTAGCTGCATAAAATTCTACATTTCTTGGTTGTGTGTGCTTCCGATCAGCATCATTTAGATATTGAGTAAAAAAAAAGGCAGTTTTTGCTCAGCCTTAAGTTGAAAAATGTATGTAATTTTGGTGTAATTAAAAATGTCAAAATGAGACATGTTCCCTGTATGTGTTTTTTATGATTTAAAAAGAGCTAATATTTAAACATCAATAACTCTCCCACGGTATGTAAAATCACTGTATGTGTTTTAGTTATCATAATCATTTTTCCACAATCTTACCCCCAACACAGCTGGTTGTTTCTGCAGCAAGTTGTGCAGTTCCCCTTTTTTTTCTGGGAGCATCTCTGAAGCCTGGTAATATCGGATCAGACTAGGCGGAGCAGGAGCCTGTCTCCTTCCTGGTTGCAGTGGTATGTCTTCCTCATGGATGTCCAGGTCTACATCAGCAGAGGCCATGTTGCTTCTTTTACCTGGAGGGATCATTTTAGGATTATCTGTATTGCAATGCTTTTGTTTCATTTCAGCAACGTTATCAAAACGTGACAAGTCCAACTTTGAGGCTTTGGCCTGAAAGCTGCAGTTAAAGTGAAAACTCAACGAAATAAACATCTTTAAATAAAGTTGTTAACATTATTATAGATGTGCAGGACAACCTAAATGTTGATGTTTTTAGTGTCCAAATAGTGAGAACTAATTGTCAGGAAATTTGAATATTAAATAAAACATTAAAGTTATCTTATAAAGAAAAATGTGATGCTAAGGCTGGTAATTGAAAATGTAATTTTATAACAAAAAAGGCCCTTCACAAATACATTAAGAGAAAGGTTTCTGCCAAAGAGGCTGGCTAACAGAAGGCTTTATCCAAAAACTGTTATTATAGAATTAAGTAGAGAGGAAAAGCGTTGCACAGAAAATTTGCGGCAAACAGACATCAAATAAATATATAGTATTCATTTAGAAAATCTATCTGGAGTGACTTAAAAAGCTATAAAGAATTCATTAAGCTTGGAGTCAAGTGTGAATTTTCCACAGTCAGCAATGATCTGGAGGAGCTATGTCTCAGCAAATTTTGGCTTGTTTTCTTGTTTCCTGCCTAATAGATATGCACATTTTATTTATTAGCAATACCGCCATAAGTACTGATACCAGATGAACTGGAGGCCGCTGTTAAAGCCATCTGGGCTTCGGTAACACCTCAACAGAATCATAGGTTTATCACCAAAGCATCCTGACTGTTCCATTGATTCACCCAAAAATAAAAACCCAGAGCAAGGACTGAAGGTATACTGTGTAGTTCATGAAGAATTTTTCAATAGTTTTATTTCTGTATAAATAATTTTTGTTTGGTTTGGGGTGTAACATATCCATATTCTGAATTAGCAAAAGTAAACGCATTGAATTTGTTACTCTGTCTAATGAATCTACTGTTCCTTTTTAAATTAATTTGTTCAGATACATTTTTCAAGGATTTACTGAACCTTAGCTGCATTATGTGGTCTAATACTATATATGATTATAAAAAAAAACCTAATTATTATCTGACATAATGCACAAGAAATATTAAATAACACTTCATGCATATTGCATCTTATACAGCATCGACTGCTACCATAAAAGAAATGGCTTTACACAGTCATAAACAGCCGATCATTGTATTCATAATAGGGAGATATACATATAGGTTTAAAATTGGTATGCTAACACAACAACAAGAAATGTGACACACTGCAAAGCAAACAGCTCGTAACCAGACATAAAGAACTGTGGATAATATAATATTTGATGAAACAAATTACATTTGCATCATTGATCTATAATTTAATAAGCAGAACAATATACCAATAAGTATCTAAGCTCATAAACACATTTTGCTTGAACTATTAACAAAACCACTTTGCTTTTGAATTTAATAAAAATCTAGAAAGACAACATTCTTACCGGTTGAGGAGTATTTATTTCGCTGCCTGTCTGAAACTAGGGCCTCACTCGATAGTAATGATTTCTACTTCCTAAAACCCTCACACATGAGGTCATCGCCCACTAACTTCCTCACCCTGACACTCATCTACAAAGGTGCTCAATTTGGTCAAACGGTGCTTTTTCTATAATCTTTCTATGTTTTCCTTATTAAATGAATGCATTCTTCTGAATAACAAACTTAGTTACTTTACGTAACTTAAACATTTAAATATTTGTCTGAATCTGTTTGCATGCAAACAGATTCAGGTTATGAGAGCTGGTGGGGGTGTAGTATGAAGGTAGAGAGGTGGAGAGTCAACACGAGAAGAGAATTGGCATTCAAGGTCATTTCCTCGTCGGACTAATGAGACAAAGCTGCAGATTTCAGGCCTGAATCGAGCGAAGAAATGACAGAAAGGTAAAGATGACATCCAGGAAAACATTTAGAACTGATCGCTATCAGATATTAGCTGCATTCATAACTTAAGGCTTTACAGGAGAATGAGGAAGACATTTGTTTGTGATGAATCGATGATCATCACCATCCCCATCGCCAGCCTGAGGAAAATTCAGGAGGGTCAACTGATGCCAGAGAACTTCCACTGCGTGTTCAGGGATAACTTCAAGGTGTTTGCTGTTAGAGGAAAGCCGAGGCCGCTGGGGGTGAGTTTCACAGCCTTACGCTGTAGATTCAATTGAAGGCAAGCACTTTAATCACATAATTTACTGATGACACTGTATTCTCTTTTATATATCTGTTTTTTGTTTGTTTTTCAAATTAGGCAGCACAAGCCATTGCTGGTGTATTTCTCCTCACTCTTGGATTGATTTCCCAAGATTTGTACTTACTTGCCTTCAGTGTTTCAAGTCTTCTTGTAAGAATCTTTAAGAAGGTCACAGATTTTGCCATG